ACCAGTACTAAAACATTAGATGGATACAAGGATTTACCAGTCATTAAAACTTTCCCTCCATCAAGTGGTTAAGCATATAAAAACTTAAAATTACTACTGAAAGAGGCAGAAAGTGTGAGAATGTGAGGTTGACTAGCAGTTGTTGACTTACAACATGTGCTGTAGCATTTTCCACAATAACTTGTCCCATCTTTGATCTGGTCCATCCATATTGGGTAAGCGCTGGTGAAAATTGTGAAGAATAATGCTGGCATAGGTTTCCTCTCTGAAGTAGGGCTTTTACGTGTTTTATGTGAGAGCAAAACCAACACAAATCAACCTCTACAACCAGTTTGCTGTTTGAGCAACCACTTGTTAGTGTAGCCGTGTTGTGAAATGAGATGCTACCTGAGCCATGTGGTGATGAAGGTCAGTTTTCCTTATCCCAAAGGTGAGAAGATGGAAGATACTGGAGATGCTCCAAACTCACACGGGCAGTGGGAATTCTAAGAGGTTTATGGTTTGGTCGTCTCAGTTTTGGTAGTTCACAAGTGGGACAATTTAAAAGGACCTAATTTTGCAGGAGTGACTTCTTAAGATTTTCGGAGAATGAATTCCATTTTATTGGGCATCTGACAGCTGAAGCAACAGCAGTCATTAGTTGTTTATCAAAATATTTTGTATATATGTCTGAGATGTTTTCACATTCATGCAACAAAGCAGCTGCAGTTATTTTATGATGATGCAGCAGGAAGGGGATTGCTTTAACTCTTCCACTGGGGGAAAAAAAATAAATTGGGTGTGTTACTTGTTATAAAAGCAAGGAAAATCAGAAGCAAATAAAAAAGTCATAGCACATTTGATTTATTTGCCTGTAATTTTTCTTTTATAACTGATCCCTAAGCCCTGTTGCTACCTGCTTTCTCTTTCTGCCCTAGTGATTCTTGAGTTGTTTCCTTCCCAGCGGGGAAGCTTCTGCAAGTGAGTGCAACCTGCCCGGGGTGGCTGTGGATGTGTTAATCCCCCACTGCCAGGGTAGGAGAGGGAGGTGGACCCTCACAGCCCTGGTTGCTCTGAGATATTGGGTTTATTGTTTAAAGCATAGATGAATTTACTTTTTTTTTTTCTTTTTTTAAAAAGACCGATTTCTGCTGTGGGTGTTTTTGCAAAGCCCAAACCTACACAGGAGCTATAGGAGCATCTGCAGCTGGAGCTGCTCCTGGGGAGCATATGGGAGGTGCCACATCTGACCCTGCCTGCAGTTGCAGAGCGGGCAAGGACCCAGGCTGGTCAGTCTGCAGCTGGGGAGGCGCAGAACTTGGTGCTGGTTATTGCTCTCCTGACTAATAGCCTTTTATTTTTCACAGATTCTTAATTAGCATCCCTCCAGGTGTAGGATGGAGGAAGGTTTTCTCTCCCTTGGGCACACTCTGAGGCTGCAGGGAGTTACTGTGCTCGGGAGGAGCAGGCAGCAGCTCTCGGCCTTGCTGTGACATCTAGTGGTAAAAGCATCCCTGCAGCCTTCCGTGGGATGAGGGCTTTGGATGTCTCCCTGCTCTTCTCTGCCCAGCAGCAGGGCAAGGCTCCTTTTGGGGTTTTTCTGAAATGTACCTTTTAGTTCCCCTGGCAGACGGTGTCACGTTTGAAGGAGGATGTGGTGGGAAAATTGGGGTCGTCTGGTCCCAAAGTGAGCAAGGCTGATGTCTACCTGGTGCGGTCTGTCCCAAAAAGTGAAGAGTGGGTCTCCATAGGGCTGAAGTGAAGGGGGGTGGGGGTCTGGGAGTGATGCTGTGCAGAAAAGCTCCCCAGGAGCTCCTCTGCTCAGGCATGTGAGGTCTGTGCAGAGCGGCTGACCCGGGGCTGCCCTTGGATGGAGTGTGCGGAGCAGCTGCTGGGGCTCTGGGAGATGGTGGGTCATGGTGACAGCTGCCCCATGGCTGAGCATCACCCCACAAGACCAAATTCCTTCTGCCTGGCCTCCCTGAACCCCTCGGGTGTGAGTGTTGGGCGCTTGGACAATGCGGAGGGTTGGGGTTGACTGTGCTTCCCCACATCCACCTAATCCACACCATCAGCCGAAGAAATGGTCAACAAGCGCGATGTGCTGATGGGCTTGGAGCTGAGTGCCACAGGGCAGCTGGACCGGGCGCAGGTTTCAGACTGAAGGCAGAGAGGAGGGGCCAGGGGTTGGGGGGAGTGTAGTTAGGTGGAGGTTGACAAGTTTTAAGATGCAAATGTGGGTCAGAAATTGAAAAGATCTGGTCACTAGGCACGTCCGCTCATGCAGAGATGCTCTTGAGTCTCAGACAAAAGTTGTTCTAAGGCAGCAGCTCCATTCTACCGAGGCTTTGGAGAATCCTTCCCAGGACTGGGAAAAGGGCTTTTGTGTAACCTCAAAGCTCAACTGGTGATGTCATCTCCCTGCGAAAGGGTGAGAGTTAAACAAGGTCCCTTGTGGGTACGTGTTGGCCGGGCGACCCCTTGACCTTCAGCCATTCAGCGGGAGCATAGCATCTATAAAAACAGACGTTGCTCAGGCTCCAGATACCTGCAGTATTGTGTAGCTGAGGCCACCACAAGAATGAGGGGGGGAAAAAAGCAAACTTGCTTAAAAGCTGAACCAGAAAGATATTGCTGTAGCTCGACACAGAAGACATAGGTGAATAGAAGCAGGTGATAAGATGAACCTTAGAAACCTGGGTTTGCAAATGAGTCCTACAGCTTCTGAAGTCCATGGCACTGCTGCCAGCCACATCGGTGGATGCAGGATTGAAGAGTGAATATCTTTAACGTCCCAGCATCTTTCATGGTGCATGTCACTTCGGGTGGAAAGGACAAGTGACTATTGGCTACAAAACAACTTCTATGGATAGTGGACTTTCTTTGTTGTTGTTATTTTGTGCAATAAGTTTTCTTTATGTGCACAGTGACATTAGTACAGACTTGGCAGGGGGTGTTCGTGTTAAGACAGGACAGAAACTAGGGGAGAGATGATTTGGGCTCTTTTAAGCTGCTGAAGGTCAGCAAGGCATCCTGTCAGAGCACAAACCCACTTCATTTTCTTGGAAATCCTGACCACTCTGGCTGAAAAGCCTCGTGCTGCACAGACTAATGACCAACACGTGAGCAGTTGGGCTTGTCCATACGTGCATCTATCAGAGCATTACACAACCCAGGAAACTCATCTATTTTGGCCTAACTCAGTTGCATAAGGCTCTTCCCACAACAAGCCTGGTTAATAATTTTGAGAAGGTTGAGTGAGCAATTGTCCTCAGCACTTCCAGGCAGGCCTGGATATGTGCCACGTAGACCAGAAAGTACTCCAAGGAGCTGTGGGCTTGTCTGGAATGTCACAAAAAAGCCCTCATTGTTCTGCCTTTCAGTGCGGTTTAAAAATGAAATACCATGTTCTCCATTTGAAGTTCACTCTCTCAGCCTATTGGCCTCTGACCTCTTCCACAAAATTGTTAGCAAATATAATAGTTGTGATTTTGTTTTGTTTGTTTGCTGCCCACCCTGACCCATTAGATACCGGATGGCTGATGGTCGAAAAACCGTGTGTGAGCCATGATAGAGCCGTCAGCATGGGGTGATGCGCTTCAGAGGTGTTATCCCTGGCGGGTGGAGGAGGGGACCTACGAGCATGTTGTGAAATGACACGTGGGATTCCCATAATGCTCCCAAGGCCAGGAAGGGCCAAAGGAATTAAGGTGTTCCTAAATTTGAGAGTCCTGGTCACAAAACTCCAAAATGTCACTTTAAAATGAAAACAAATGCAGCTAATTATCCAGCGAAGGCAAGAGACCAAATTGCGTAGTCTCTACTTAGTTTTTGTAATATCTGTTATTTCTGAATTTGTGAGTTTTATGTTATTTACTCTGAATAGCTATGCATTTTTTTATTGCTATTAGCTATTAAAATGACACATTAATTGTTTCTGCAATTAAAAATGTGTTCAACTCTCCTCTGTGCCAGCATTTGTGACATTCAGAAGTCATAAACATCAACTACTCCATCATTTTCGCTGTAAACATGTCCTAGAAAAGTCATTTCATAACTAAGCCAGAGTAAGAAACGCACCGCAGAGGCATTTTAGAAGTTCTCTCACGAGGCTTAAAGGGCATTAAAACTCTTCCCTTGACCCTTCCCACCAGGTGGATACTTTGATTAGTAAACTTAGCCACCGGCTGGCCATCAAAGATCGTTGGAGTAATGATCCGTGACACATAATACTCAAAAAGTTAGCAGACAAATGCTGGTGGAGGCTGCGTGCTGTGAAGTATCAAGGATTATCATCGTTTCAGGCATTTGAACTTTGAACGTTTCAAACCCCTTTCCATCTGGTAGGCTACAAGCAATTGCAAGCCTAAGGCTTGACCCTGAAATTATTGGTTGACTTTTTGTGGTCTTTGAGATGCCAGATGAAGAGAGCGGAGCATTTCCCCTCTCTGCCTACCCCCATCCTGAAGTCTGTGTGTGAGCTCCTGTTGACAGGCTGCTACCACGAGCAAATAAAATGTTTGGCTTACAGTTGGGAGAACAGAGTTTCTAGTCTTGTCGAAGCTTCGCAGATTTTATCTTGCTGATCAAACCAAGCAGGTAAGAGGTGCTGGCTCGAACAGCAGGTCTTGTTCTGGCAAAGAACAAGGTAGCTGCGGCTCATACCTGTGCTGGTGATTTTAGTTCCAGTGCAGGTACCGCTAAGAACATTTGATGTGAAGAAAGGCTGATTTTTGTCTTTGTGGTTATGCCGCAGGGAATGACCATCCGTCCTCTCGTTGACTTGTTGGCTGTCAAGAGGAAAAGAGAGAGTGCTCCCACAGTGGGAGAGCAGATCCATATTCGGGTAAGTGATGCTTCCATCAACACACAGCCAGAGCTTTCCAATCTGCTTTGCGTGCAGCAATGTGGTCCTTCTGAAAGGTGGTGTGCCTCCAGGGACAATTCAGACCTGCAGTTTTACCTGAATCCTCTGCAGGTCAGTCCCTTTGCAGGTTGAAGTCCGACGCAGCTTCCTAACCATGAGTTATTATTTGCATTGGAATAGCAGCCACCAGCTGAATCAGACTGGTGTTGCGTTAGGTGGTGAACAAACATGACAGGAAAAGATAAGCACTTGCTCAAAAGTTTATACCTGAACCTAACACTAACTTTTTTGCTTCTCTGAAAAGAGTGAAAGAAAGAAAATGAGACGTGGTCACTTTCACGGTTAGGATCTTCCAGGTGTTCACTGGTCACTTCACCACTATTAGTTTGGAGATTTTGAGGGGAAAAAGAAATAAAAAATTAGAACAAGGAAGGTAAGGAAAACACTGGGTTGGAAGGAACCACTGAAGTCACCGTAACCCAAAGCTGGAATTTAGTGCACCTTGCTCTTGCCATCCAAATGTTGGCCTTTCTAGTTAGAGGGCTTCTGCAGAGAGCAGGTCAACTCCATGAGGAAGCAAGGTACTCTGCACAGCCAGCCGAGGCTTTGCATTGCTGGATCCCACCGCAATGCTGTCGGTGCATGAGGGATGAATTGGAGAGGCTTTGCTCCAGGTCTCCTTCGATGAGAGACTTACAGCCTGACAGGGAGCTGTGGCTGGGGATTTTTAATGCCGTGATACTCCGCATCCAGCGTAAAATAACGTTTCTGAATCTAATTGTCACATTTCTGTAGGTATGGCTCCTTCAGGAATATTTTTCTCGTCTTTTTGGGTAGCTAGCAATAAAGACATTAGGTCTGAGGACACTTATAAAAACCGTTTGGCATCCTCACAATTAGGTTGTATTGCAGGGCTTTGTCTGAGGTTAACAGAACAGTTCAATAGGCTGAAGAGGCTTTTCCTATCGTGAGCAGAGAATACTTTCTTCTTTTGTTAGTGTATGAATAGTAAATCATCTCTAGAAATGTGTTTATTAGGAAATGTGAGCTGAAAATGGCTGTGTACCAATTAAGTAGAGAAGGTAACAACGCAGATAGTTGGAAACCAGGCACGCAGCAGCCAGGAGCAGCTTTCTTCCTCAAATTTATTTCTCTGTCCAGAGAGTTGGGATGCTCTTGCTTGCAAGAGTGATGACTAGTGGGGTGTCATTTGTCAGTCCTCGGACCGTACAGCTGCTAATAGCAAATGTGAGGGCTCCGTACCTGTACCAGACTGCAGGGCTGAGTGAACTGCTCTGAATTTTTTCTGCCTCTGACCCCACAAAAAAAATTTTTTTTTTTTTTTTAAATTAGAGTTGGAGCAAGCTCCAGGGACATCAGTACCTGAATGTAGAGGGGCGTTGACTCGTGGTAAAGCAGAGACCTCTCCCAGTTTAGAGATGCCAGTAGGAGGGAAAACAATTTGGGAAATTACAGAGATTTAACTTCTAGGTCGAAAAAATCAACCTGTCTATATTTTTAATATAATTTTAAACAATAATAATGTTTTTGTATAAGACATGATACGACAATTATTTCATTCAGTGGGAAGTGTCTGGGGGAAGGCAATATTTATTCAAATCGAAGCATCATTTATACATTATCTACACCTATATCCTGAAGATACTGATCTCCTGAGACAAATTGTCCTCAAAAACCTCAATGTGAGCATTTCCCGCTTATCAAGGCCCAATATGCAGGACATGCAAGCCATCAGCCATCCTGCGCGTATCCTAAAGAGCAGACCCACGTCCCTCGGCCGTTATTCTTTGCTTGCACAGACCCGAAAGCAAGCAGCCAAACCACTTATTGTACTCCAGAACCCGGGGATACGCGTGGATGCTTGGATGCAGAATTAGCCTGATGGTCCCTCTTCTTGTTTACTGGAGCTGTGTACCGAGCTGAAAGCATCCCCTGGTTTTGTCTGCTGGCTTTTGATGTTTGTGGACTGAGTTCATCATGTATGCAACACGTGCAACCGGTGTATAGCAAAATCCTCTCTTCTGTTTAGTTCTTGGATCATTTGCTGGCTGGCATTGAAGATATATCTGGACACTGGGGACAGTATTACTGGAAAGACAAGTAAGGATTTGCCAAAATACAACTGTGTACATGTGTAGAGAAAAAAATGAGTCTGGTTTCTGTTCCCTAAATTTCTGCTGTGGGCAGCTGAGCCTTGTTCATCCTCGTGGCACGACCCAGGGGAGAAAGGGGTGGCTTTTCCTTGTCTGAGGTGAGACCAGGTTCTCAGGCGCTTCCCTGCTTGCAGGTCATGTTGTACTTCACTCTGAAAGACTCCTTTCTCCTCTCCTATTGTGTTTGTCCCTTCTTGTCCAAAGAGACCTGCTGGAAATGCAAGGGCCGTGCCCTCCTGCCTGTCTGGCCACGCAGGAGCTGAGGACCCCAACCCAATGTGTGCACAATTAGCATTAAAAATATGAGCTTGCAGCACTTGGAGGAGCAATTGCTTGTTGTGGATTGACAAATTACAGACGATGTCTACAGAACTCTGTAGCGAAGTGCTCGGTGTAGATTGTACACATAGGATTTTTTTTTTTAATACAAATAAAATATACTAATATTAATTCCTTGGCTGCGCAGACACAGATGCAGCTAACTTCATGGTAGTTGATAAATGCAGCTGGCAGGGATTTTCTTAGGAATGTCAGTGCTTGGAAGTGCCACTAGAGGGTTTGGGAATCGCCGCTGCCTAGGAGTGTCCTGGCTCCTTGCGAGCAGGTTTGTGAACAGCTAACAACAGCCGAACTTGAGCGTCGGTATTTGATACCGCGGTGCTCCATCTTTCCCAAGCGTTGTGCTGTGTTTGAGCAGAAAGTGAGAGGAAATGGCTCGAGAGGGAATCTGGAAGTGTTTAAATCCGTTGCATGCCTTGGGGCTACTGCGTGCACTTGTAGCACTTACAGAAGAGTTCATGATAAATCTGGTGCTTTGGGGAGTTTTTATTGTATTTGGTAAAAGTTTTAATATCTTAACTCATGTACTGTAGTGCAGAAATAATTAGGGACTGGCCTCTTGGAGCATTGATTTCCGGAAAGAAGTTAATGGAATATAAAGGAATATGGGGCAGTCATGGACTTTGAAGGTGCCAGCTTGCTAGGTCCATTTTGGTGCTGGGGAGTTGTGGGAGGAGGCTAAGCCCATCTTGTTTTGTTCTCAAACAGATTAGAATATTTCAACAGCAAATACCTGCAGAAGATCCTGCTTCGAGAATATGACCAGCCAAAATCAAGTATCGTGCTTCTCTATGAAAAGCTGGAGCGGAAACATGCCATTGAGCTGGCAGAAGCAGGGCAGCTGGGTCATGCCCCGTCTCACCCATCCTTGCTGTAAGTGCTCCCCTGCTGTCGTCCCCTTTCCGTCACTCCTCCCGACCCTCCCGTTGGAGGGAACAGTTATGAAAAGGTTTTGCAGACTTCTCTGTCTCCTCTGCTCTTCCCTGCTGGGTTGTCCCATGGGAAGGACAACATAGCTTGGACAAATGGAAAGTAAACACTGTTTAAAGACTAGTAGGTGGGTGATCGGGTGGATGAGCAATCTACTGGCACTGATGAACACGGTTTCTGATCTTGTACATGGAGGCTCACCTGTACACACCCCCCCCCCCCCCAAGTTACGCGGAAATGGTGCTCTGAGGAAGAGGCTCTCGCACCGTTTTTTGATGGCTTTGCACCATTACATGCACTGAAGGAACCGACAGTGAGAATGAGCGTTGGCTGGGACATCAACTATTTGTGTGTCGGAATGGCCATCTCGTCTCTCACAGACGGTTCTGCTCTGCCACAGCTCTTTTATCTCCCAGGGAGCACACGGAGGGCACAGCTTTGATGCAAATTACAGATGCCCCTTCTGCAGTGAGCTCCATCTGCAAGGATCAGCTGTTGGTCATGTCTGCTGGTGGTGGGATCCAAAAGGGCTGCTGTGAACACGGGGCTTTGGGGATGCGCCGGTTGCGCTGCTGTGCGTCTTCCAAAATAAGGCGTTCTGGTTTTCTTTGCAGCAACAACGACAGGACTGTCATAACAGACAAAAAATTGGAAGATACTCTGAATCCGGATGTCCTGGAAAATATACAGGAAATATTGGCAAGGAACCTGTACCGAATAAGGAGAACGGTATAACTCTTCCCTCAATCTGTATTTTAGGTGTCCAATAACAAAAGTTATCTCAGTTATCCTAACAGCCTGAGCAGATGTTATGAATATTTACATAATTACTAATGATGTCTCTTTGTGAGCAGAGAATAGTTGGCTGTGTGAAGCCAGATCCAGTTTCCAAGTCAGTGGCACATTTCTGTTTGCAGCATGACAGCTTTTGAAAGGTTCACCCAGTCAGCCTATAATTTTGTGAAGTATTTTAGGCATCCGTACCCAGAACCAGAAAGGAGGAACACATGGATCTTCAGGCATCAGGTTAGCAGATCCAGCAGCTGCAACAGCTCCTGGTTACCTACAGCAGGGCAGAGCAGGGATGGGGTTATCCTCACCTTGCATTTTTTTCCCCACAGAAGAGAGCACAATCAGTGAGCTGCAAGCGAGAATTAATCTGCAGGGGTTTTAAAGCCGCTCGGCAGTTTTGCCATGAAACTGGTACAACTGGTAAATGGCATGGAAGCCACTTGCTGTTTACAGAATAACTCATGAATAATCTGTCTGAGGTTTTACACAGCACCTAGGACTGTGCATTGTAATTGCTGTTCACATGGTGATACAGGGATCCTTATCCTTAAAATCCACCTAAGCCTTTGTTTTATGGATTACGCACGAAATACTGAGTCCTTGGGGATGCGGCTGATGTGGGCAGCTGAGCACAGAGGGATCAACCACCCCCTCCTGTCCCTTTGCTGAGTCGAGAGAAGCAACTAGATAAGGCTGGGAGGAAACCTATAGGAGTGGTAAACGGGATGAAGATGAAGGTATGCCTCCTGTTTGCACTTACGCCTGTCTAAACCCAGCCTCACCCCTTGTAGCGACAGAGTTATCTCACCTTCTGCTGATGTTAGGGGGAGATTTAACTGTGGTTAGTTCACACCTTTTGAAGCAGGATTTATTATTCCGTTGATGCTCTTGCACAATTCATATACGACGGTGGAGCTGATACAAAATATTGCAGGGCTGGGCAGAGGCACTGAGGCAGCTCTGGCTGAAGACACCTAGAACAGAACAGTTGCATGTGGTTGATGTTTCGCCTGGACTAGTAGAGATGCATCTCAGTCTTGTCAGTCAGTGATCGCTTGGGCAAATTTGCATAAAGAAGCAGAGCTTGGAGCCCTGTTTTCTCTCCTTGGGTCTTTTCCCTCCATCCCCACCTCTCGTTCTTGGGGGGGTCAGTTTATCCCCATAAGTAGGCAGGATGCGTGCAGGGGGGTGAAGGACCCTGGAAGATGCAGGCACTACTGAAGGGATGCTGCTGTGGAGGGAGGGTCGGTCCCACCTCCAACAACGGTCTGTCCGGTGCACCGTGCAGGGCCCAGCGTACAACAGGCACACCCTTCCCGGAGAGACGGAGCCCGTGGAGCATGCCAAGGAGATCCTCATCCTCCGGCACAAGAGCCTGCGGGTGGAAGTGAGCGGAGGCGACGCGGTCAGCTCCAGGAAGGAGGTAAGAGGGAGCAGGGAAGGCTTGAACCTGCAGAGACCGTGCACGGGCTGCTTCCCCGCGCAGGTGTAACAAGAACTAGCAAGAGCACTCTTTGCTGCTGGCGGTATTTCCTTTTAAAGACAAATCCTGTTGCCTTAAAAAAATAGAAGTGTCTCTCCATCCTAAATTGCATTCCAATGAGTATGAAATACCGAGCAAAAAAACCCCAACCCAATTCCTGACAAACAAACGAGCCATCTTGCACGCAGCGCCATTCAGTGCTTTGTGAACATAGGCTTCCGTCCATGCTAGGAAAGTTATTTGCTGAGCAAATGTTATTAATTGGGCTTCAGTCTGTAGATTCAGAGGTCTGTTTTTCCCATGTTTTCTTTTTCTGGGAGATTTCGTCGAAGGCAGGAATTTGGTACACCCATTGTCAGCAGGCCAGATGGACTGTAAATATTTGAAACTATTTGGTGTTTCCCCCCCCCCCAACTCTTTGAAAGGACAGAAGCATTATTGTGAGCTTTCCTATTTATTCTGCAGGTGAGGGTGTTTTGTTTGTAAAAGCAGCTACGGTTCTGGGCAGACATAAATAAAGTAAAATAGAGGGAAGCGTTGCATACCGGATTCCTGGGAGAATCGCTTTGAGTCCAAATTTACTGCTGGCACAGCTCCACGTTGGTTCATGCTCTGAATTAGAGGAGAAGCAAGGTGGATACAATGTCTGTGGCTGGCGAAGCCTTTTTGCTGACTTTTATTTCAAAATCAGTGAGATAAGCTGGGCCAGCATTTCCCCGTGGAAAGACAAAGCGGTCCAGGAATGGTGCACGAGGAACGGGCTTGGTCTTTGCAGTTCCTCCCATCCTCTGTAACTCTTACTCTAGCAGAAAAGCAATTAAGCCCCCCTGTATTTTGCTCCCAAACCTTCAGGTCTGCAGCTGTAATTCCTGAGCCATCCCTAAATTTCACCCGCTTCTCCAAACCTTTGGTTTTGACGGCTTGAGCTACAGCACTGTCCAAATGCAAACTGTAGGCTCTAATCTGAGCAGCAAGGCTCCATCACTAAGGAGAAGGGAATGACCTTTTAAAAAGAAATGATTTATCTATCTTTATTTAGATAGTAAATTTCCACGACAGCACAAGAACTCGTGGCTGCCGCAGGCTTTCTTCCACTCTGATTTCTTTGTTCAAATGCCAATCATTGCAGAGCCCACCGAGAACGGCACTGACGCACCAAATGCCGCTGCTGCTCAGCCCTTCATTCACAGAAAGGTGTTCCGGCTCTTGCAAACAACTTAAAAGATTTAATTTGATCATTTACATGCTGATTGGTACTTACAATTCAAAATAGATAGGCAAGAACATGGCATGTTCCTGTAGAACATTTGGTATAATTAAACTTCAAAAGAACAACATCAGAGTAGGGCTGATTTTGAGCACGACGTTACATACTTTAAGGACATTTGATTGTTAACCCTTGTGATCCCCCTTTCCCCTTTTCTGCTGTTTCCGTTAGGTACCGCAGTGCATTTGGTAGGGAATTCAGCACCTTCGGGAAGACCGTTTCTCCTCTTACTTCCAAAGCTTACAGCTGGCCCTTCAGAGGACAGAATATTTTTGGGGGAAATTGCAGAAGCAATAGAATTTACTCCGTACAGACTCACGGATGGTGGCTCATGCCCTGTGAGGGTGGAGAATGCTTCTATGGGTCGTGCAAAGCGCCAGTTTGATGCTGAATACTGCTGTCTGGTTGGTGTCCTTTGTTGGTGCTAATCTTTACAGCAGCTCCTTGTGCTTTGTGCCAGTCTAAGCGCAACAGATGTAAATGCTGGGACCTGATTCCAGTGACATCTGTAAGGGTGACTCTAAGCCCAAGAAGCATCCCTCTGCACCTGAAAGGAAAAATCAGGCGTGTTTTGTGTGATCAGCAGCTTCTCTGTCAATGTTTTAGAATAGCTGCCTCATTTTACTGCGAATAGAAATAAGGCGATACCCAAAAGTGATGGGATAATGTTCTACAAGAGCCATGGAATATTAAGATGAGGTGGGAGGGTGGGTGAATGCTGTTACTTCACACCGTAGGAGGACAGATTGCAGAATTTGTCAGCAGAAAGAAGGAACACTGTGCTAAAAAGTAAATTTCAGCCCATTAAAAGCAGCTCAATATTTTAAATTTTGGGGGAAAAAAAATTAAGCCACTCAGATTTGGTTTCCTGACACGTTAACAAGCAAATGTCATTTTCCTGTTTAAAAGAGAGACAAATGAAAAATATAGCTAGTTAGTGTTTGAAATTTTTCTAATTGTCAGATACTCCATCTTTTCTAGTCCTGAAGGGAAGGGTTTGGCCTTCCAGGTTTTGAGTCAGCAAGAAAGAGCAGACGCTCTCATGCCACACGTTTTTCTATTCTGCATTTCACCACGAGATGGAAGCATTACAACTGTGTTTGCAAACCCAACTGGAAATCCAGGAACCGTAAAAAACTTCAAGCAAAGAGCCGCTGGAAACCCTCCGGTGCTGGGGAAACGTCTGCACCGTCTTCCATTGCCAATCTACTTGAGAAGAGCTTTGGCGATACATTCAATCAGTTAGGTGCTATCAGCTGAGGGAATAATTAAAAAATCCCTTTGGTTCAGTATAGAACCACTGCTTTTTTGGCTCTCTGGCTGTCTCTGTGTATATTTTTCTCTTTTAGTGAAGTTGCTTAGTCCTTTGCTACTAAAATATGAAGCTGTCATAGCTCAGTTAGCTTAATCTCATAGTTTATTAGGTGCTGGTTGGTCTTTCCCCCCTGTGTCAGTCAGCACAAAATAAGGGAAGTTTGGAAGAAGAGCATCTTTCCATAGGTCCGTGGCTCCACCAGGCCAGGGAAGAGCCAAGAGTGAAGTTCATCTTGCCTGACGGACAATCCATCTCCTTCCACAGTCAGCGCAGAGAAAACGATGCCCTTGCCAGGACAGGCAGCGGTCCGTGGCCAACAGCTGGCTTCGGCCAGGATGAATCACCTCTTCCCTCCAACCTGGGTGGCTTTTGGGTGCCCTAGGGGTCTACTGCACTTTAGGTGTCTACCTCTGCTGTCACAGTAGTGAGAGATGACTCTTAGGTTGCCAAGGAGAAGTTGGAGACTGAATAGGGAAGGCAGAGAAAAGAAGTAAGAAAAGAACAATCCTTATCCCTCCCGAGCCAACAGCGCAGGTTAAATGATTTACACCAGGCAGAAAAATCTTGGCAAGACTACGAGGTAACTTCAGATCTGAATCGTAGCCCAGAGGATTAACTCCAAGACTATCTATTTCCAGCAGAAAGTTCGCCTTCCTCTGCCTAAGGACAAAATTCCTGCT